GTACCCACTCCACCGCCACCTTCAAAATCACCTCCACAGGTTCATGTTGGTATTTTCATTCGTTTTCAAAATTTCATTGGTTTTCAGATGTTGTGTCATCGCGAAATTAATTCATTCGCGTGATTGGAAGCATTGATGTGGTGATGATGTGTTTTGTTAGCATTGCGGTAAAAGAAGTTCGATTGCCATAATTTTTGTTGAACATTAGCGAGTATTTTGGTAAATGAAGTTCAACAATGTCCAGATTTACACAACCTATTTTTAATGTTCTTAAAATATATCTATAAAGTTTTTTAAAATTTGACATAATTTTTGCGGTCATATTTATCATGATTCGTTGTAGGAATCAGTAAAGCCAAAAGCTGAAGTGCAGAAAGAAGCACACGATGCACATGATGTTGAAAATCCAGGACCTCCGGTAACGCTTGATTATATGCCCGTACCGTTCCAAAAATATCAGACGGTTTACAAGGAATTACAAAAGAAATTCAATTTCTATTTGGTCGTTGGTGTCGGTCTTCTGGGACTTTCATTAGCTATTGTAAGTCAGCCTATTCTTCCTTTGAAATAATCTCTGTGATAATTTTAATTGAAAAAATAACTGTCAGTGAAATGGAACCGCCGATTTTGAATGACCATTTTGCTGGAGAGGTCACTTAAAAATATATGTATAAAAAAGGTTTTCAATTCGATAATATCAATTTTTTTCAATTCATAAAATGCCTCATTGTCAGTGATTTACTTTTTTCAATCGGTAATGTAATTGAAGGCAATCAAAGAAGACATGTTTGCAATTGAAGCGTTACGGCCACCAGCAAGTTACCGCAATAGAAAGAAGGCATACATGAGCACAGAAAAAGATGAAAAATCGGAGCCCAGCCCTCCGCCGCCAGCCGAAACCGCTGATGAAAAGAGTGAACCCAGCCCTCCGCCACCAGTCGAAACCACTGAACCTGAACCTCAGCCTGAACCACAAGTGGAGAAAACAGTCGTTGCAACTGAGCCTGAAGCACCTCAGGTGGTGGCTGAACCACCTGCCGAAGAACCAAAGGTAAATGTAGCGATCCCAATTGTGTCGGGAAATTTACATGAGAAAACTTCCAAAGATGAACATACCAGAACGGATACATAGAAAGAAGTAATTGCTGCTGATTTAAGACACCGTAATACGGTTTAATTTGTTTCTTGTGTTTCAGCTTTTTATGTTCATCTTAATTT